AAAAAAAAAAAAAAAAAGATTGGCCCTCTTGCCCTCTTGATGATTGAACCGCGTTTCATTCTCTACACCGCTATGATCCCACACTGCAGTAGGGCAGGGACACTTGAGCAGCCACTTGTCCCCTCAGGAAACTTCCCAGTTCCCAAAGAGCCCCCAAGGGAGAGCCGAGTAAAAACTACAATTCCCAGCAGCCCCCTGGGGCAAAAAGGATGTGGGGAGTGGCAGTGCACCCTAGGGCCTGCTGGGAGCTGAAGTCCCCTGGTATGGCAGAAGGTGGTCCCCCTGGACCGCTCAGACCTTCCCATTTCTGTCTCTTCCTCTGCAGCTGGAGAAGGTGTATGACCCAAAGAACGAGGAGGATGATATGCGGGAGATGGAGGAGGAGCGGCTGCGCATGCGGGAGCACGTGATGAAGAACGTGAGAGAGACAGCCAGGCGGCTGAGTGGGGGAGCTGGCCCCAGCTCTGTCCTTACTCGGATCTGGCTCCCCAGGTGGACACCAACCAGGACCGCCTTGTGACCCTGGAGGAGTTCCTCGCCTCCACCCAGAGGAAGGAGTTTGGGGACACCGGGGAGGGATGGGAGGTGAGGACACGGCTCACTCCGGGGCTCACACCTCTTCTCCAGCCATAACCTCTTGGGATCTCTGCCACCCCCACGGACCTCGGTCCCGCCTCCCAGGTTTCCCTACCCATCCTGTACCCATCTCTGTCTTTCCCTGACTCGGGTTTCCGTACCACTCTCTCTCATTGTCCCCCATCTGAGGTCTCTGTTCCCACCCTGGGCTTCTGTTGTCCCCTCTTTCCCCTCTTTCCCCTACACCCCACTTATGCCAGGTCTCATAGCCTCCACGAGGACTCTGTGCAGCCCCTCTGCACCGGGGTGGCCAAAACTCACATCGTCCCCACTGACGGCCCCCGCCCGTGCTCCGCAGACTGTGGAAATGCACCCTGCCTACACGGAGGAGGAGCTGAGGCGCTTCGAGGAGGAGCTGGCTGCCCGAGAGGCCGAGCTGAACGCCCAGGCCCAGCGCCTCAGCCAGGAGACCGAGGCCCTCGGGCGGTCACAGGACCAGCTGGTAGCCCAGAGGCGAGAGCTGCAACAGGTGAGGGCGGGACCTGGGGCCTCATCCGTGTCCGCCGGGTCCCCAGAGGCTGCTCGATGCTCCGGTGGTCACCACTGCCTTGGACGAGGTCAGCTATGTCACTGTCCCCACTGCCATGTGAGAAGGCAGAAGCGGTCAGGGAGGGGTCATTGTTCTCAGGTGGGTGCAGCCGTGACGGCACAGAACTGGGATTGATTAAGTAAGCTCAACGCCGGAAGGAAAAACAGGCCCACGAAGAAGGGACCTGACTGGAATCACTTGACCGGTAGCTGGGAGGTCTCAGCTCGGAACTGAGGCTGCAGCAGCCATGTCAGAGCCTCTTCTGTGTCATCCTCTCTGCCAGGCCGTTCTGCAAATGGAGCAGAGGAAGCAGCAGCAGCAAGACCAAAACCCGCCCCCTGCCAACCCCCAGGGGCAGCTCAAGTTCCACCCAGACACAGGTGCTGCCCTGGCCAGGGGCAAGAGCCAAAGCCTGGACCCCCAAGACAGGGAGGAGGTTGGGCCATGCGTCTTGGGTCCTCACCGTTTGCTGTCATTTCCAGATGACGTTCCTGTCCCAGCTCCAGCCGGTGACCAGAAGGATGTGCAGGATTCTGGGAAGAAGGCTCCTGAGCAGCCTCCTGCAGGGCCCCAGTTGGATTCCCAGCACCTCTGACCCTCAGGGCCCTGCCTTCCGAGTTGCTGCCGGATGAAGTGTCACCATCAGCCTTCTCTGGACGGCCACACACGTGACCTCGGAGGAAGGGACGCAGTGACACCCATACATTGCTGCTTAGACCCACGTGTGCCCTTCTCTGCCAGTCTCAGTGTCTGCAGCCTCCAAGTCGTGGTTTGTCTCTCCGTCTCCTCCGGAGCGCCTGTCCCCTTCCCACATGGTCTGGCCTCCGCTGCTAATCTGGGTCCCTTGGGTACCCTGCGGCCGTGCAGAGCCGTACCTGCCACTCGGGGTGGTTTGTGGGGGCTGGGGTGGATCCTCAAGACCTGCTGCTGCCTTCTCTGGACCAGCAGTGCCCTGGGTCCCCTCCAGGGATGCTAAGGCCAAGGTCCTTGGTGTGACTGGCAGGGCTGTCCCTGCGCCTGGCTTCCAGCCGCCTCGTCACCAGCCCTGAAGTTGGCCCCAGCCGCTGTTCTGACCGCTTGCCCTGCTCTGTGCCCTGCTCAGCCCTCCAGTTCCACCCAAATACACTTCCGGGAACAAATCCATGCTTCTGTGTCCTGTGTGGTCCGTCCCCTCGGTCCTGTCTGCATCCTGCCAGGGTCTTCCCCGTTTTATATTCAGGTCAAACATTACCTCTGAGAGACCTGCATCAGAGTCTTGTAGTCGCAAGGACGGATCAAACCTGAGCTTAATTTATACTTTTGTTATTTTTATTTTGTTTGAGACAAGGTCTCACCATGTAGCCCAGGTTGGCCTCAAACTCACGGCAATCCTCCTGCCTCAGTCTCCCAAGGGCTAGGGTTACAGGTGTGCACCACTATGCCTAGCCTGAGTTTAAACAGTTTTTTAAAAATTCGTTATTGCCACAAGCAGGAATTCCAAAGGTATGATAGCTTCAGGGTTGTTAGGGAAACTGATTTTCCCATCTGTCTGTGCCATGGTAGGTTTTAGCATAGTACACCTTTCATTGTCCCAAAGTAGCTGCAGCTGCTCCAGATGTCACCCTTATCTGCACCAAACATCAGGCAAAGGAATAAGCCCCATCCTTGTCCTGAGCTTTGTGAATAGGAAATGCTCCCCCGGCGCCTCTTCATTCCTCTGTAGCCATAAGCCATTGGCCACAGGGCGGAAATGATAGTCTTGGGTCTGCCCCCAGGAGACACCTACCAGTGGTGATTCTCACTTGGGATGGGGACCCTTGCCATGGGCCATTTGAGGTCTGGTGAAAAGGAAGAGTTAGGGTTCAGATGAAATTTGGGGTTTGGTTTTGCTTCCATGCTGGGAGTGGGATCCGGGCCCTTGAGCAGGCCACACAAATGTCCCCACTGAGCCACACCCAGCCCTAAAATCCTATTGAAAGCTTTTTTGGGGATGGGGTACCAGGGATTAAACGGGACCTTGTGCTTTTGAGGCAGGCAGCAAAACCACTGAACTAAATCCTTGGCCCAAAAACTTTTTTTTTTCCTGTACCCTTGTATCCTTGCACTTGTGAGGCAGGCAGTGGAACCACTGAGCAAAATCCCCTGCTCCCCCCTTTTTTTGAGACAGGGTCTGACTGTAGTTGAGACTGACCTGGAACTCACTATGTAGCACAGGCTGGTTTCGAACTCCGAACCATTCTCCTGTCTCAGCCTCCCGAGTGCTGAGATTACAGGTGTGCACCACCATGCCCGCCCCCTTTTGTGTTTTGAGACAAGGTCTCACTATGTAATTCAGGCTGTTGTAGTGACTTACAACTTAGCAGTTTACAGAGATCCTCCTGCCTCAGCCTCTTGAGTGCTGGGGTTATGGTAGGCTTAAAATGGGTCATTGACGCTGCTCATTTGTAGAGAAGAAGGTTACATGGAGACACGGATTGTAATAGCAACTGCAGTTGTTCCACACACGGAACCACACACAACTCAAGTTCAAGGCTGCCAACAGTCTTGAGAACCATCCAGTAACATTCTGGGAATGGTCTGTTTTGAGAAAGTTTGTGAAACCAGGTGTTCATAAAAATACTGTCTAATGCTTTGCTAGAGATCGTCTGTAAGGCACTAACTTTATTCTGGTGGAAGTTTTGTGCATGCGTCTAATAAAAACCAAGGTTGGTGAGAGTTGGCTGCTGTTTTCCTTCAGCCCTCTCCTCCTCGGCGGACTACGTTCCTGCTGTCTGGCTGTCCTTCGTGTCCCCAACACAAGTGGCGCCCGAACAGGACCTGAAGGGTAAGTCTCAACAAGGGAACCGAAAGGGAAAAAAGTACGTTCAGGAGGAAATGAAACTTTCAGGAATTTCAGAGTAGCGTCATGGGGACTCCCCATCCACCGAGACCCAATCTATCAAATTACTTCTCAATCTGCTGACAAGTGCAGGGGTGAAGGTGACGAGATCACAGTTCAGGGAGCCTTTCTCGGTGGTAATAAAACATTGTTACTGGTTTCACCCTGTTATCCAAGGAAGCAGTAGTCACACAGAGAGGCAGCAGAATGGAAGTAAAAACAAATTTACTCATCAATAAGGGTCGATCGCACATAAACGGTGCCCGGATCAACAATGCACTGGGTTACAGCTCGGGTGAAGGTGACGAGATCACAGTTCAGGGAGCCTTTCTCGGTGGTAATAAAACATTGTTACTGGTTTCACCCTGTTATCCAAGGAAGCAGTAGTCACACAGAGAGGCAGCAGAATGGAAGTAAAAACAAATTTACTCATCAATAAGGGTCGATCGCACATAAACGGTGCCCGGATCAACAATGCACTGGGTTACAGCTCCTCCTTTTAGAGGGTTTCACAGCCTTGACTTCATTTGGGTGGTTACATTTCATTCTCACAGTTCAAATCACCGTCACAGTAGCTCATCTTTTGCACTGGGTTACAGCTCCTCCTTTTAGAGGGTTTCACAGCCTTGACTTCATTTGGGTGGTTACATTTCATTCTCACAGTTCAAATCACCGTCACAGAATAGCTCATCTTTTCAACCCAGACGTTAACAGTTCTTTGCAGTTGGGGAGTTTACCTTTAAGATTTGCCTAGTTATCTGTTCTAGCCCGTAGGAAGCGGGTGTTCAGGGTCAGGGGAGCAAATGTTGGCAGTGGTCCTTTTTACCTTGACACTTTGACGATCAGGTGGCTCCAGTCTCGTCAGAGCTCAAGGCCTTGACCGTTATCTCAGGGTCAGACCAACGCCTCATTCAGCAGTTAGTGCCTTGTGCCTGTTAGTTTTGAGCAAAACAAAACAAACTGCTGTCAGAGACAGCAGAAGCCATTTTATATTGTAACACTTTAATAGGTTTTTGCTATTTATAAAAGTTTTCCTATCATTCCTCCCTTTGTTTTTTGGGGGGTAACTCCTTACCCCTCATTATGTTCACACCAATTTTCATTCTTCTGCATAACCAACACCTGATAGTGTTGGGCGGCCGCAATCCTCTGATGTATGAGTTTTGACACCCAGATCTCCACAGAGGAACCAAACATGAGAACAAGCAGTATAACAATAATTGGTTTTGCAAGGCAGCTGACCCAAGCTTTCCATCCTGACAAGGCCAAAATGGAAGGTCGGGTCCTCAGTATCAGACTCCCTTCCTAGCAGTCTGATACAATCTCTTGGACACTTGGGTCCCTCTTCTCTTAACAAACCATTTGTTGTAGCAATTTCTAAAGGCATCTTGTTCATACCTGAAGGAGTATAGACAGACAGGCTGGGGATTAGGATCCCCAGAGCACATAAACAAGTAGAACACTGAAATCACCTTAAAAACACCATTTTCACAGAGAAAGTTACATTTGGGGCAGAGTAAGTTACCAGCGGTAGAAGACGAATCAACAGTATCAGCGCAGACAGCGGAGACATTGTGTGAAATTTGGATACCAAGAAAGCAAGTCCCATTCTTAATTCCATCTAATGGGTAGCTGAGCAAAGGAGACATAGTAAACTTTACTGGCTCTAAGGGCAGGTCATTCACGAAGCCAAATGCTTGATAAGTCACCACGGTGAGTGGTGCACAAATTCAGCAATCAGAGGCTAATTTCTGGTCTGTCTATAGCAGCAGTGAATGTGTACCGTCAACCAAATCTAGTATATCTATACCAATTTCTGTATAATTTTGGATGCCTTTTAAAGATATTCTGTATTTCCTGCAGTGCAGGAGTTTTTCCTATTTCGGGGGGGGGGCTTTCCAAACCTTTTTAATCTGCAGAATCCACCTTTTTAACTTTGGAGTCCCATGTCTAGCAGTTGACTGATACCCAATATAAACAGAAAAATATTATTTTCTGTAGTCAACTCGTTCATCAAGGCCAAGCTATATACAATTTTAAAGGCTATTTACATTTTACACCGTCCCTGTTTACGGTTATCACAGTTGCCAGTACTTTTGGGTTACAACAGAACTGTTTAACCATATTTGAGCTTTATCTGACCTAATACATCTTTTTATGTATATTCCCCACAGTCCAGTGTGGTACCAGGATATAATAAAGTTCTTTTGGACAGGCATCAAAGGGAGCATGAGGGGATGACCCTCCCATTTCCGTTTAACAGTTTTTCTTTTCCTCATTGAGTTTATTAGTACAATTTAGGTCTACAGTACAGTTACATTCATCATTGGGATCTTGTACCTTTACGTGACAGGTCTCGGTTCTCATTTTTTCCCCTTGTTCCATTTAACAGTTTTAAAGGCCACATATTTTTATCAAGCTTAGCATCTTTAGACTTATAACCTCAATTCAAAGACAGAACAGCTCATGACAATTTGACACAATAAAAGAGTCCATAGCATCTTGATTGCAGCCCTCATCCTTCAGCCGTGCGTGGACTCACCAGCTTCCGGTGCGGTGAGAGCAGGGCCCTAAGTGCACCGCCTCCTGGAGTCGCAGTCCTTGGAGTTCTCAGTCGCTTCACTCTGGACTGGTGAATCCACGGCTGGAACTCAGTCACCTTGACAGCTCTGGGAGCAACTATGGGTGCCTCGCATGGTCCTTTTCATACAGGCTGCAAAGGGGTCTTTTTAAATTTTTAACATAAATTCGGTCCCCCGGTTTTATCAGATGGGCAGGAGTTAGCACAGGAAGGTCCTCTTTATTTTTAATTCACCCTAGAATATCTTGGAACACTTTGCCCAATTCTAACAGCTGTAATTCTACGCTGGATGAGCCCAACTGAGATGAATTTTCCATAAAGTCTCATAAGATACAGGGTGGCCTTACAAACAAGACCTCCTATGGGGAGAACCCAGTATGACGTGGGGTAGTTTTCATTTTAAGGAAGGCCAAAGGGAGCAGATCGACCCATAACCCTGGTGTTGTCTAGCAATATTTAGTTAATAGTTCCTTCATGGTATGATTTTTTCTTTTAACCTTACCAGAACTCTGAGGCTGATAAGCAGTCTGTAAGCACCATTTTACACATAACAGTTTAGCTAGATCTTGTACAACCTCTGCTACAAATGCTGGCCCATTGTCACTGCCTGTGGAGAGAGGCAGATCAAACCTTGGAATTTTGTCCTTTAATAAACTCTTGTATCCCTCTGAAGCCCTCTCTGTTTTTATAGAGAAGACCTCAGGCCATCCAGAGTAAGTACAAACCCATGCCAACACGTATTTATAATCTTTACAGGGGGTGGGTGTAATCCCCTAAAGTTTATTTAGTTGTCCTTTTGGCTTCTATGTCTATCTTAGCTTTACCATTTGCTATAGCATCTTTTCTTTCTTGAATTATTATAGCTACTTTGTCAGATTTCCACATTGCCTCAAATAACTCTATTATATCCTGTTTATTTTTAATAAGTTTGCCCTCTGCTGTGAGAAGACCACACCTTTATAGACTGTGCCATAGATACACCAAGTGGCAAAGAGGAATCTCTTTCCTTTGCCCATCGGAGAGCCTGTCTGAGCGCCCATAGCTCCGCTCACCGCGCTGACCACCCGGTGGGGAGGGGCCCTGCTTGGACCTCTTGAGTCATCTCTGCGTAGCCAGCATAGGGTACCCCATTTTCCAGGAAGCTGCTCCCATCCATGAACAGGGCGAAATCCGCCTCAGGCAGCGGAGCTCTCTGCAGACCTGGATGACTGGAGAACAGCTCATCCGTGACCCTGACGCAGTAGTGTGGGTGGGGGCAGGTTCCGAGGGCAAAAAGTAGCGGGATCGAAGGTTTTAACTGGAACAAAAAATAGGTGGGGATTCTCACAGACGAGGGCCTGATATTGTGTGACATGTCATACAAAACCTTTCAGACAAACATACAAAAACCTTTCATGTCAAAAGTATTTCTTTTACCCTTATCTTTCCTAATATTTTTCTCTGTCTCATTTACTACTAAACTTCTATAACAAACTTCAGCTGTTAAAATCTTAAAGTGTCCTTTTTTTTTCTGTTCTCAGATTGTTATGTCTTAAAATTTGACTGGCTACCAATAAAACAGTACTAGCCATGATTTTTTTTTTTTTTTTTTT